GGGTAATGCAGCCGGCTGTAGCGTCGTACTTGTCAGCAACAAATTGAAGATCACTCTCACAATTGGAGTTCACTTACCCTTTCTTAGTATCGGCTTGAGAGCTGGTTCGTGGACCAAGACAGCCTTGGCAATTGCCAACGTAAGAGCCTCGGCCTGTCCGGTCACACCGCCGCCTTCAACAAGTGCCCACACGTTGTACTTGTCTGTTCTCGCAGTGCTCCGGAGCGCCCAGATGGCGCTCTCACGATCATGAACTCTGCCGAATGCCTCGTTCAGAGGTTTGCCGTTGACCAGCATCTCTCCAGTGCCCTCCACCACCCAGGCGCGGGCGCTCGACGTTTTCCTGCGACCAACGCCTAAAGCGCGTCCATATCTGTCGAGAGGCACAACCTTGGCCATGTTCTTGTACGGATCGATGTCGCGTTTGAATTCCTGCAGAGCTTCTTTGACCTCGCTGGGCATCAGTCCGGGGTGGATCTGATGCAGCCGTTTGACCATGCTAAGAACTTGGCTGAAGGGCATCGCCTTGACTGGTTCTCCAGTGGTCTGTCGGTAACCCTTCAAGTTCCTCCATATTTGTCGTGGGACCAATTCCGGGGGCGCCAAAGGAAGGTGCTGGTATCTCTGCACGAGAGCAGAGAGTCGGATATAGGCGTCGTTAAAGCGAGGCTCCCTGGAGAAGTAGGACGGCGAGACGGGTAATGGGCGAGCCTTCTCAATGCCGAAGAAGGGCTGCTCGGGAGGCAGATCCAGCTTTGTGTCGATTTTGGGTTCGCTGTTTTCAGCTTGAAGATCGCTCGTAGTCGACATGCTCTTGAAGCTCGATTGCAGGCTCGATCGTTGCCATTGAGGCTTCATCGACTGACCCTTTGCCAGTTGGCGCAAGCAGAGTGTCTGCTGCAGGCCATGGCGTAAGCTCGACATTGTTGTGGGACCTCGAGCAGCGCCCTCGTTGATGCGGTTGCTGTCGCGATATCGTGAATTGGAGACAGCCTTGAACGCCAATAGACAGAAATCTTTCCTAGCTTCGTAGCTGGGCTACGGCAGAACATCGGATGATGCCTGAGTCACGTGGTGTGGCGTCAGCGCCACAAACGCTTGGACCCTTTCTTGCCGCACTTTACCCCTCACACACAGCAGCTGGTTGCCCTGGCGTTCGAGCTGCCGTCAATCGAGCGAGGGGCTTTCGGGCGGCGGGGCACTGCGGTCGAAATTTCATTCAAAAAAATTACTGTCACCCTGGCGGGGATCCCGAACTTTTCTCTCTCCTCTCTCTTGTCCATCACATCACGCACCTTTTGATACCCTTCCATCCCTCTCGGTCAAACAACTGATTCAAGATGGCGTTCGGAAAGCTCTTCACCTACCCGGTAAGAATCGAACCTCCAAATCACTTTTCAATCTTCACCGTCTCCAGGAATCTGATCGCTAACGAACATCGTCACCCCTCCAGGCTAACCCCCGCACCACGGCCATCCGCGCCGTCGCGAAGGCCAACAACGTCGACCTCGAGTTCATCGAGGCTGACCCTACCAAGCCCTCCGTTGAGCACCTCAAGGCCAACAAGCTCGGCAAGGTCCCCGCCTTCCTTGGCGAGGATGGCTACCCTCTCTCTGAGTGCATCGCCATTGCCATCTACAGTACGTTCTGAGTCATACCTTGCCGGCCTCTTTTTTCAAAAGCCCGCGTACACACAAACACAACATTCCACGATTCGCGATATGATGATCAAGCTTTTTCAAATACAGTTATCCCTGTCTGAATTTCTTTGTTGACATAGTCTAAATTTCTGATCCTACCAATGGCACCGTTTACTTTTTTTATTGGAACACCTTAAGAAGCAGGAGCTAACGAGATGCTGCAGTCACCTCCCAGAACGAGAAGACCACCCTTCTCGGCAAGACCAAGCAGGAGTAAGTACACCGGAAGCGTACCTCTCTCTCGTTGAGCTCTGAAGCACGAGGCTAACAATTATCTACCTAGCTACGCCTCCATTCTCAAGTGGATGTCCTTCGTGAACTCCGAGGTCCTCCCCCCCATGGGCGCCTGGTACCGCCCTCTCCTTGGCAAGGACCCCTACAACAAGAAGGCTGTTGAGGACTCCTCCAAGGTCGCCCTCAAGGCCATCAAGGTCATCGAGGAGCACCTTCTCAGCAACACCTACCTCGTTGGCGAGCGCATCACTCTCGCTGACCTCTTCGCCGCTGGCATCATCGCTCGTGGCTTCGAGTTCTTCTTCGACAAGGCGTGGCGCGCGGAGAACCCCAACGTCACCCGTTGGTACCAGACCATCATCAACCAGGACATCTGGACCGCCGTTACCGAGAAGCAGGAGTTCCTCGAGACCCCCAAGCTGACCAACGTCGCTCCCAAGAAGCCTGAGCAGCCCAAGAAGGAGGCTGCCCCCAAGCCTGCTCCCGCTCCCGCTGCCGAGGAGGCTCCCGCCGCTCCTAAGCCCAAGCACCCCCTTGCTGAGCTCCCCCGCGCCACCTTCGACCTTGAGGAGTGGAAGCGTCAGTACTCCAACATCAAGAACCACGATGAGGCCATGCAGTGGTTCTGGGACAACGTCAACCTCGAGGAGTTCTCTCTCTGGAAGGTCAAGTACAAGTACAACGACGAGCTCACCATGACCTTCATGTCCAACAACCTCATTGGCGGCTTCAACAACCGTCTTGAGGCTTCTCGCAAGTTCATCTTCGGATGCGCTGCCGTCTACGGCGCCAACAACGACTCCGTCATCGAGGGTGCCTTCGTCATCCGCGGCCAGGACTACAAGCCCGCTTTCGATGTCGCTCCCGACTACGAGAGCTACGACTTCGAGAAGCTCGACCCTTCCGCCCCCGAGACCAAGAAGTTCGTCTCTGACTCTTGGGGATGGGAGGCCCCCATCACCCACAACGGCAAGGAGTACCCCGTTGCCGACGGCAAGGTCTTCAAATAAGCGCATCGCTCAATGGAGTGATCCAAAATTCATGGCTTATGGCAGAGATGAAATGAGTTTACGAATAGGCTAGGAGGGTGTGCAGATGATGTTATGGACCCGAAGAGGAATATCCTGTGCGCAATGCCCACGGCTGTGTGCCAAGTTACTAGGTCTGAGTCACTAGGACGAGGCAGAAGATGCAGGTTGTTCCTGATCAAAATCAAAAGAACACTTTTCAATTTCACTACGAGGCTCCACGTGCATATTATTGAATTGATTGTGATGCTTCCATAAGCTCATGCTAAGGGGTATCTCGATGCTACCAAGTCTGTCTCCATGTCCTGTGCTTTTTTCCAACCTGGCATATGTCCTGACTCTTCCAAAGACTCTTCCTCTGCTATTTCTCTACGCTAAGCCCTGCACATTACCCTCTTGCTGTTGCTCCAGCCTGTATGCGTCGTTCAGCTGGAACGGATTCGTGCGCATATACGCGCTGACATCCGACTGGTAACAGAGCTGGTTGAGGTAATCGTGGACCTGCGGCACCACGTAGCCCGGCTCGCTGGCGTCGCCAAAGAATTCGGGGATCTGCAGCAGGTTGTACGGCTCGCTCCGCGCCTTCTCGAGCGAGTCGTCCACAAGAACGGTATTGGTCTGGTCCCACCGGCCGCCGTACGCGGCGTCTGGGTGCGCCGCCTGCACGTTGGCCTGGGCCCAGACCATCTCTAGACGCTTGTAGACCTGCACGCGGAGCTTGAAGTCGGCCTCGGAGAGACCAAACCTGTCGCGGCCCCAGACGGCCAGGACGCGGCGGCGGTACGAGGCTCGCTCTTCCTGGGTGTCTGCGGCGCCGAGGCCGCCCTTGAGGAGGAGCTGGTCGCACATGGACTGGACGTTTTTCGGCTGGGCCGAGGACCAGACGACGACGTGGAAGGTGTCGAGGCAGTATTGCAGGAAGCGCTTCGCGTGGGGCCGCTCGACGAAGCTTGCAGCGTTGCGACGGTTGGGTCGGAAGAGGAGGGTGCCGTTGAGGTCCATTACGACGAGGATCGGTCGAGGCGTGGATACGAGGGTCGGCGGGAGGGATGCTTGCTGGAGATATTGCGGCGTCGGGTTCGGGACGCCGCCTGAGGCGGCGCTGGGAGCTATAATCTTATCACGGTTGTGCGGCACCGCGGCTCTGTTGAGACAGAGAGAATGTTAGTCTTTGCGACAGCATCGGAGGAGAGCAATGGACCGCAAAGAGACGGGGGGGCCTAAAGACTGACGCTTTGCGAGGTCCCTTTGGGACTGTGGGTTGGTTTCCGGCGGACGATTGCTCGGTGAGAGGGGTCGTGGAGTTCGGGGCGTAGGGAACGTTGGCGGCGTTGCCGAGGCCCGGTATCGTGAAACCATTACTGCTCGGCTGCTGATTCGACGGGGCGGCCATGGCCGGGGCGGGTTTGGCCCACCATTGTAGGTCGGACATGCTTTTGTGTGGAGTGTAGACAAGCCTCGAATCACGCGAGGGAGTCGTGGGAAAGGGAAGGTAAGGTTCGGCGTTGTATTCGGAAATGGTGTCTTTTCGAGGGAAGTCGCGGGGTGGGCGACCTGAACGCTTGCGCGCGACGGTTTTGTAGAAGCAACGTTGGTGGATCTGTTGCGATCTTGCGAATATCCGGGGAAGAGAGGGTTGCATGGATGGATGGGCTAGATAATGAAGTGGGAGGGCGAAGTCAATTGAGCTGAATGCGAAAACAGATTGGTCAAGCTGCGTCCGTAGTAAGTGGGCGTAGGTCGAATGTACTGTTCGGAGCGTATTCAGTGTCTTTTTTGTCTTTGATGCGATTAGTGGAGAGGAAATTGTTCTTTGCTGGGACATCACATAGGTTGAAAGGACTGGAAGTTTGTGAGACATATGTTATCGATAAGTTGCCGCTTCTTATCGATACGAGGTCGTTGGTCACTTAGGCCCACTGAAAAGTTGCTTTGAGGTGTGGGCGAGTCGCTTTCATGTGAGTTCTGACCCTTCATACTACGACCATATCACAAGTGCACCTTTCAGCTTCACAAAATCAACGAAAAATAAGACAAAATGCTGTCCGGAAAGAGGAAGCAAGGGTTCTCAGGCCTTCAGCGTCGTGTGAAGCCTCGCAGAGAAGCGGAACCTGAAGTCGATGAGCAGATCAGCAGTGAGCCTGAGGAGATGGGAATGGATGGAGATGAGTTGAGTGAGGACGAAGAGGGTCCGGATATGGAAGAGGACGATGAAGAGGTACTCACTCCGAGTCATAGAATTACTGCACCCTTTACTAACAGCTCAAAGTCCGATGCCTCACCACCGCCAAAGAAGTCAAACATCGACATCTCATCAGTGTCCTTTGGCGCCCTCGCAAAAGCCCAGGCCTCCATGCCCTCAGCCAAACGTCGCAAGCGCGGCGCATCACCTTCAGAAGACGACGACTCCTCAGACTCGGGTCCGGAAGAAGTCGGCAGGAAACCCAAGCACGGCGCCGACCACGTCAAGCGCTCGAGCAAACACGCCCCGATGGAGCAGTCAAGCAAGAAGCCCGTCTCCCGCCGTCGCGAAATCATCGCCGTGCCCAAGATGGAGGTGCGCGACCCGCGCTTCGACCCGATGAGCGGGCCCGTCGACGAGTCCAAGGCCCGGAGGGCGTACGCATTCTTGGACGACTACCGCAAGGACGAGATGAAGCAGCTGCGGGCCGAGATCAAGAAGACCAAGGACGCGGACAAGAAGGAGGAGATGAAGAGGATGTTGCTGTCGATGGAGAGCAAGATGAAGGCGCGGGAGCGCAAGCAGCGGGCGGACGACGTCATTCAGGAGCACAAGCGCAAGGAGAAGGAGCTCGTCAAGGAGGGCAAGCAGCCGTTCTACCTCAAGAAGTCGGAGCAGAAGAAGAGGTTCTTGATGGATCAGTTCGCGGGTATGAAGAAGAAGCAGGTCGACCGTACGATTGAGCGGAAGAGGAAGAAGGTTGTCGGAAGGGAGCGGAAGGAGCTTGACAAGATGCAGAGGAGACCTAGGGAATGAGCGGACGTAATCAGCATGCTTTGATTCGAGTTATGAGCCCCTTGAACGTATTACGGAAGGTCTTTCATTTTGTCTATAATCCTCCCTGCATTGTGTGTCTACACATTGATCGTACAACTATGATACAACATGATACAAAGTGGATTGAGGGTAGTTCTTCGTTTGCCTCTTCTAAGCATTGTATCCATTCTTCTTCAGACTCTCTTCAAACATCTCGCGGCATCTGACTTTGCTGCCGAGCTTCGCGCAAAGCAGGAATGCACCGCTCAGCTTACGATGCAGACTGTAAGTCTCCTCGGGCGGTGGCGCAAGTCTCTCGCGCAGCATGACGGGGATAAGAGCCTTGACGCGCTCTGTGATGGTTTGGTCGTGGAAATCGTAGACCTCGGGTGCCGAGCCGAGGAAAGGCTCCGCCAGGGTGAGCACCGACTTGACGTGCGCGTCCACCATGAGCTTGCTCTCGTGGCCAGTAAGGTATCCCAGACTCTCAGACAAACGCTTGACTTCGTCCCGGTCGGTCCTCGAGGCCGCGGCAAGGAGCTGAACGTACTGCGTAACGAATTCATCGGGGTACTCCCGGGAAGCACCAAAGTCGAGAAGCTCGAGCTTGTTTGTCTCCGCGTTGTAAAGAAAGTTTGTCCAGTTAGGGTCGGTCTGCATGAACTTGAACTCTGTGATCTCCCGGAGACAGAGACGGAGGATCTGGGTGCCAATCCAGTCTTTCTGCTCCTGAGTGAACGACTTGACTCTAGTGACGCCCACACCCTCCATCCAGTCCATGGTCAGAACATTCTTTCCACAGACTTGCAGATGAACGTCAGGCACAAGGAACGTATCCGGTTCATCGGCCAAGAGCTCCTTGTAACGGATCAGGCACTGCGCTTCTCTCTCGTAGTCGCATTCCCATCCCAGCTCGAGCCGCGCGTTGTCAATGGTTTTGTTTAGGTAAAGGCCCTTTGGTAGGAGCTTAGTGGCGGTTAAGAGAATGCCCAGGTTGTCGAGGTCGGAATTGATCGAGTCTGCGACTCCAGGGAACTGAATCTTAACCGCGACCTTACGACCACTTTCCTTCAAAGTAGCCCGGTGAACTTGGCCGATGGACGCCGCAGCAATGGGTTTCTCCTCAAAGTCCTCAAACAGCTCGCGCCATTCCGCGCCCAGGTTGGCCTTGAGGACCTTGTCTCTCTGCCAAGACGGCATGTAGTCGGCACGGTCCTGTACTCTCTGTAAAACCTCCTGAATCGGTCCCGGGAGCATCTTGGTATCCTGGAAGCTCATCATCTGGCCCATCTTCAGTGCAGCGCCGCGCATTCTCGACAGCTTCGCGACAAGCCTTTCCATGTTGCCAGCACTGAGCAGTACTGAGCCCTCACCGCCACCGCCAAATGCTCTGCCGATGCTCTCGGTGATGGCACCACCCATCATTCCTGCTGCCAGACCGCCATAGTTCCAAAGTCTGCTCAGGCGTGTGGCGGGCACGCTGGATTCCCTGAGGGCGTGTGCGGGGGGTGCTGTTGGGTCGACCGCAGCGCCCAGGATAGCTTCGACGGGAGGTTCACCCTTAGATACCGGACCCGTACATACCGGGCCCGTAGGAGCAGCGGCAGCAGACGGAGGCTCTGAAGGTATCGGTGAGTTTTCGTTTCTTAGAGCTTCGCTGTTGACAAGTTCAGGTTGAGGGGCGGTCTGAGAAGTACTTGGAGCACTCTCAGGGGTAGCTAATTTCTTTGCCTCGCCATCCTTGGACAACTTGGAGAAATCGACAAACTCGGGGAGTTTCGTGGGTGGGAGCTTCTTGCGGTTACCGAAGTCAACCTTTGGCGGTTCTCCATCCTTACCCAACAACTTGGCGGCTCGGGTGCTATGGAAGATGTTGACGTTGACACCCTGGGGGAGGTCGTCTGCCTCTTCAGAAACAGGGGCCCCGTACGGAGCTGCCGGCCTGCTCACTGGAGACCCTGTGGAAACGGTGTTATCTTTGGGCCTTTGATCCAATGGCGATGCGCCTTGGAATGGAAAAGCTGAAGGATTGGTTTGCCTCAGTTCAGAGAGAACCGACCCTGAGCTTGGTGAGATACGGGCTGCATTGTTGATATTGGGCTGGAAGCTGCTTGATGTTGTGAGTGAGGGATGACTGGGTTGTGATGTCGACTCCTTGTTTGACGGCGGCGTCTCTTTCTCAGTTGGTGACTGAGCTTCTGGGACATCGGAGGAGGCCGGAGCTTCTGCTGCGGCGTCGTCTCGTGTGTGCTGAGGTGCCGTGGGAGATTTGCGTGTTAAGCTGGAAGCTTTAGTGAAGCTCTCGAGCTGTCGGCCTCTCAGTGCAACATGTCTGGAAGCGACAGAGCGCGAAGCGCCGAGCACAGCTGCCAAATCGACAGCAAAATCGGCGAATCTCATCGGTAAAACAGGTTGTCCAATTATGCTACACGCATGTCTTTGTGATGGTCCTTTGACATATGGGTGACCTCGCGGCTTTCAGGAAATGCTGGGATTGTCAAATCGTCCTCGTCATGGAGGGAAAATTAAGTGATGGGTGTATGCATATAAAGGGAAGGAAAGAAGATAGCTCCAGGGAGCTTTAGGTAGCACCATGCATATAACGGGGTAACACACTAAGCCACATTTCTCCAGCTACCATCCATTTCCGAATGGACCAATTCCGGCCGATGATCCAACGGCACTACCTCCTTTTGCATGCAAACCTGGCCACTGTCTCATTGTATATGCTCGTCTTTCACATTTAGAATGCTTTTTCTTCTTTCTGTGCTTCTCGTAAGCTATCCTGCAGTGGTATCTTTAGTCTATCCCTGGTTCCTCGTCTATGGTCATTATTCGTATTAATCATTTTGGCGTCGATTCCCTTGTTACTGAGGCGCCGCCCTTTAAAAGTGAGCCTCTTGCCCGCATGGGTGTCGCCTTCAAGGACGAACTTTGCGGACTGCCTGGCCTTGGGCTGCCTATCTTCCCCCACAGCCTTTGGGCGGCAGGCGTAAGGCCACCCGAAACCCGCGGACTCGACGGGAACTTGGGCACCGGGGTTCTGTCCAACTTTCCAGTCAACCCGTTCTTCACGGATTCTCTCTTCGAATGCGCTGCGCGCTCAACTAGACGGTGATGCAAAGTCTCTCGCTTTCTGTGTTCTTGCAGCTTGAATGGATTTGGCGTAGCGTCACCAGGACCGAGGTTGATGACGGGCACAGGGAGAACTTGGTCGTCGTCGTCGTCTTCGTCATCCACAAAGGCGTACCCATTCACTCTTGGCGTCTCTCCACCTCCTACGGCGCTCGAAGCCAGGTCTTCTTTGCGGGGTTTGCCAGCAATCGCGTCTCTGACAGCAGAAAGCGTCGGGGACAGAGCTCTCTCTGCGATTGCTGGTTGCGGTACCCTCGTGTTTTGATAGTTGATCGATTTAGGCGGCATCATCGATTGGGCCTGCGCCTTCTGGGCTGGGCTCTCGTAGTCGTCGTCCACGCCATCCGGGCCGAACATCAAGTTGTTCTTGGGGTTGGCGTTCCAACTGTCCGGTCTCGCTGGCCTGTCGTCCACGTCCTTGATGGCAAGTCTGTCCCTTTTCCACCCATCGTCCACCAGACTCCTTGTCTCTAGTAATTTGGCTTCGACTTCTGCTTGTTTGATCATCTGTTTTGAAGGCAATTTGTTCCCTCGCCAGATCCATTCGTACTTCTCTGCCTTCTTCTGATTTTGTTTATCCATGAGCTTGTAAAAGCTCTCATTGTCTTCGCTGGTGTAAGTAGCCTGGAAATTGGCCAGGCTCATATTCGTGTCCACGACTGGTTTTGGCGCTTCGGATACTGTCGATGCCACTGATGCCGGCGTATCTGCGCCGTATGCGGATGGCGTTCGTCCAGCGTTGTTGAAAGGCATCGGCCTTTTGACCCTATTCCTCCCCGGCGTCATCACACGCTCCAGCCTCTGGCCAGCATTGGAAATCCATGCCTTGTCTTTTGATTCGAGAGCGTCGAGGTACTCTTGCTGGGTCTCGGCCTCAAGGAGTCCGGGAAAGAAGTCGCGCGCAATGATCTGCGATAAGGCGTCGGTATAAGTGTCTTCATCTATGACCTTTTTGGGGCGTTTGATTTTCTTCGCGGCGGGCGGTGGTGGCATCAGTTCGAGGTCGGTCCGCTTGCGCACAAGCGCGGTTGATGTGCGTTCTTGAGGCTCCATCATTAACAGACTGGGGCCGGTCAGGTTGAGAAGTCTCTCTTGAAAGGGTTGTAGATACAGGGGGAGTGCGCCGTCAGCGCCATGGGTTAGATGTCGCGTCGGGAGGTTAAAGTTGGATCGACGGTTGAGGCCAATCTGAAGTCTGAGTTGCGCTCAGGTTCGGGTCCGAGTGACGTGGGGCGGCTCCGATTAGCGATAAGTTTAGACTCGCGTGTGGCGATTATGCAACTATCAAAGCTACGGGTACCTCAGGCCTCCCCGTCAGTCCTCTGTCCTGAAGGGGTCCTCTACCAGGGTACATACGTACATCAGGCCCGGAGGTGTAAGTCGTCCGTACTCCGTTAAGGTACCTTCCCAGGCATCCATAGTGGCAGATGGAAGCTCATTCCTCGCGGGAGTGGAGGGAGGAGGGGCCAGACCACGGCAGCGCCCTTTCAGCGCCCCTGTCGGACTCCTGAAGTGGCAACTCAGTGCCACCCCGCTGCAACTGTATCGCACCGTGCGGTAGTAGCGCACTGTTTCCTGTTAGCTCCGAATACTGAAGAGGGTTTAAGGGCCGAACCGTCGCAAAAGGAAGCTTTCGAATCCGACCCAAGCCCGGCAACTTCAACCTTCGAAGAGCTTCTGCTGCATAGCAAAATTTGCTACAACCACCTCTTCTTTCCCGCCCCCAGTTTTGCGATTTGACTTGGGAAACCGCACTGGAATCTCACGCCCACGGAAACGACAACTGGATTTCCCACTGTTTCGTGTGCGAACGCCAGCAGGAGAAACCCCTCCATCGTCCCTAACCTGCGATACGGATACCCCACACTTTGGTTCTGCAGTAGAGCACCGTTGCCGCCGCCATGTCTACGCCAGAGGAAAAGGCGACAGCCTTCAAGAACGAAGGCAACAAGGCCTTTGCTTCTCACGATTGGCCCACTGCTATCGAGCTCTACACCAAGGCCATTGAGCTTAACGACAAAGAGCCAACGTTTTTCACCAACCGCGCTCAGGTTCGTTGCCCCTCGCTGCGCCGAGGCTGCGAAGTTAAGCTGCTCGCGTGACTAACACAATCTTGACTACGAGTAGGCAAATATCAAGTCTGAAGCATACGGCTATGCTATTGCGGATTGTTCGAAGGCGATCGAGCTCAACCCCAACTTCGTGAAGGTGGGCAATCCCGGACACAGCCAACGATCCTTGTTTGCTGACGTCGGTACTACTTTAGGCATATTTCCGCCGAGGCCTTGCCCAAACCGCCATTATCAGACCAAAGGAAGCTCTCGGCGACTTCAAGAAGTGTATAGCACTCGACCCGAATAACAAGGATGCCAAGTTGAAGCTGGACGAGTGCAGAAAGATTGTTCGCAAGTTGGACTTCTTCGCTGCCATCGAGGTCGGTGACGAGCCGTCAGCTGCGGAAGGCCTCGATCTTAGCACCATCAGCGTCGAAGACGACTACGATGGTGTCAGATTAGGAGAGGAGATGACACAAGAGTTCATTGACGACATGACGGAGCGTTTCAAGAATGGCAAGAAGATTCACAGGAAATATGTCTACCAAATTATCCTGGCCGTCAAGAAGCTTGTCTATGACGAGCCGACCATGGTGGAGATGAAGATTCCTGAGGGCACACAACTCACAGTCTGCGGTGACACACACGGTATGTTTCTGTGCATCTCCTTTGGTACCGAGATACTTACTTATAGCCAGGTCAATACTTTGATCTGATGGAGCTTTTCCGTCTCAACGGAACGCCCAACGACAAGCACTTCTACCTGTTCAACGGTGACTTTGTCGACCGTGGATCATGGTCTTGCGAAATTGCTCTCCTGCTCTACGCATACAAGTGGCTCCGACCTAATGCTTTCTTCCTGAACCGTGGTAACCACGAGACCGACGACATGAACCGCGTGTACGGCTTCGAGGGCGAGTGCAAGGCTAAGTACAACGAGAGAATCTTCAAGCTCTTCTCAGAGAGTTTCTCTGCTTTGCCTCTGGCAACTCTGATCGGCACCAAATATCTCGTGCTGCACGGTGGTCTGTTCTCAGACGACAAGGTCACTTTGGACGACATCCGAAAGCTCGACAGACACGCCCAGCGCCAGCCTGGCCAGGCGGGTCTCATGATGGAAATGTTATGGACGGACCCCCAAGAGGAGCCCGGCCGTGGCCCGAGCAAGCGCGGTGTTGGCATGCAGTTCGGCCCCGATATTACCAAGAGATTTTGCGAGAACAACGGTCTCGAGGCCGTCATTCGCAGTCACGAAGTTCGCATGGATGGCTACGAGGTGCAGCACGACGGTCGTTGCATTACTGGTAAGTTTATATGCTCTCTCATGACCGTCCTCGATCTGGAACTGACTCTCGTAGTGTTCTCCGCGCCAAGATACTGCGACTCCACCGAGAACAGGGGAGCGTATATCAATGTCGGCCCCGACTACAAGCTCGACTTCAAGCAGTTTGACGCTGTTCCTCACCCGGATATCAAGCCTATGGTAAGACATATCCCCTCCTCCATTGCTTCTTCTGCCGCTGACCCTCCACCTTCAAGGCGTATGCCCAGAGTTCTCTCATGTCTTCTCTGATGTAGTTTGATGATATGCGGATGATGGTCCCTAGGGTATGAGAAGGTATAGTTTGCATCCGCAGCATACATGGTGCATGTGATCGGCGCATATAAGGGGCTGGGTGGCAGCGTGGGTTTGGCCATGCGGATAAATCGGAGTTCTTGCCCTGCAGGCGCCCACCATAACCCCGAATCTAGAATAATACGACGGTTGGGTGTTTGGCCGAAAAAAGCTGTACTTTTTCTTTATTCTCCGTAGCTCTACCAAGGTGTAGGTTCATGACGACCAAAGCTTGTCTTGGCCATCGGTGCCGACGATAGCGCCCAAGTAGTCAGAGCACTGCTTCACCCGGAGAACTTGCCGGATTCCCTGGTCCGAGACGCCTGCCCACGCCGTGATCGCGGCGGCGAAGGGGCTAAGGTCCTGTCGGGGTACGCGCAGCCAGCACTGTGCCCCCTCGACTTTGAGTATGTCGATGGGAATGGCGGAGCCTGTTGCGCCTAGGAACTGGGCGAGAGCGGCGTTGCAATACGAGCGTACTTGAAGATTGTCCAGTTCCAATGCCTCTTGTGTTGTTGGAGACTCGGAGATGAGTTCTAAGTGAGTGTAGGAAAAGGTCGGAGCCTTGATTGTGCATGTGAGAAGCTCGTGAGATTTCTGGCCCGTTGCGCGCGGTGTGCTGGCGGGTGCTTCGCCGGCTGATGAGTGTTCCGTCGTCATGTCGGCTGTTTCCCTCTGGTCGATCAAATGAGGTATTTCTTAAAGCTTCTCTCACAGATTATGGGCTCTGTGAGTTACTTAGACCAAAAAGATGTGTGAGAGGCGGCAGGAGAGAATTTCAATGAGAGAGAAGAGTAGCATGTAATGTGATTCGAGCATGGGATCGAAGCAGCTCCGTAGGTGGGTCAGCGCCAAAATCAATCATTATCCATGTACATGTATACATGCATATACTGCATAAGACACTATAAAGCCTGGGCCATCAATGGAAAACACCGATGCCTTTCACTCAAGAGCCCCACATTTGACATCCAGCTGCTTGAGGAACTCCAGCCATAGGTAGCCTCCCTTCGCCAGAAACACCTTTGATCATTGACGAAGCTCTAGCTTTTGCGACTTTCACCCTCGCTCCTTCGACACACTCCTCAGCCGTCCACCCTTCTCCAACACCGAAGACAGAATCTCCGATCGGAAAGACAATCTCAAAAAAAGGAGAAAAGAAAAATGTCGGCCGATAATTTCGTCGCGCCCGGTCAGCAGCGCTACCTCCGCGCCTGCATGGTCTGCTCCATCGTCATGACCTACTCTGTACGTCCACAGTCAACTTTGCCTACCCCATCATCTGGATGGAAGGCCTCAGGGGAAAACGATTCATTGCACGGAGTGATTAAGGCTAATATTTACCCCTCCAACCTAGCGCTTCCGCGACGAAGGCTGCCCCAACTGCGAAGACTTCCTCCACATGGCCGGCTCCCAGGACCAGATCGAGAGCTGCACGTCCCAGGTATTCGAGGGCCTCATCACCCTCTCGAATCCGAAGCGCTCCTGGGTGGCAAAGTGGCAGCGCTTGGATAACTACGTGAGGGGCGTCTACGCGATCAAGGTCTCCGGTCAGCTGCCCGACGAGATTCGCAACACGCTCGAGGAGGAGTATAGGATACACTACATTCCGTCAGTAACGCCCACTCTTTTGGATTTTAATCTCTCGTGCATGGATACATTGCGTGGAATCGGAAAACAGGGAACGTTTGGTTTTGGGTACACTTTTGACTGACTTTGATAACAGGCGCGACGGAACAGAGACGGAGGTTGATGCTTGAGATTGGCTGCGAGCTCTTGAACAATGTGTATTTGTTTTTCTCTTTTCACGTACAAGGCGTTTTACGGGGAGTCAAAGATGGTTGGCAAGGAGTCAGGCAAGACTCTATTCAGATGAATCAATTCTCAAAATGGTATCTAACAGTACAACCCAACTCTTGCTCATGCAAGTCGTTGAACCTGCTTTTTTTGTTACAATGCGATGCTGCCCTGCTTTAAACCCAAACGCCTGTCGATAGGCACAAAACCAATCCCTAATCTAAAGTTGCAATCACCGCTGATCCGTCCTTTGCTTCTTGAACGCAAACCCGCCAAATCCAGACCCAGACCCAGACCCAGACCCGTCCCTTGATCGTTTCCCCTTCTGCCTCTCCATGTCCTCTTTCATAATCCTTTCCGCCTCACTCATCTTTTTCGGCTGCTCAAAAGCAGACTTCTTCGCGCCGCCCGCCAGCGCGTTCTTCTTCGCCTGAGCAAACACATTCTTGGTCTGAGGTTTCGCCGTCATCTTCAGCGATAGACCGCCTCCGAGAGACGGCTTCTCGGCAGGCTTGTCCTCTGTCTTCTCCAACGCCTCTGTATTCGTCGCTGTAGTCGAGGCCTCGGATTCTGCGGACTTGGACTGCGCTCCCGTCCCTGTCGGGTTGGACTCCTTCTTCGCCGTCGCAGGCTTGGTGCCAAATGACAACGACACCTTCTCTCCTTCTGTCCTCTGCAACCCCCTCTCCCGCTCTTGTTCGTCATCAGGCTTTTCGCCCCTCGCCTCGGCCGCCTTCTGCGCCCTCTTGATCTGCTCTCGAATCATCATCTGTTCCACCTCCTCGTTGCCCCGATCCTGCGCCTCCTTTCTCCTCAACGCCTCCTGCCTCTTGAGCGCCTCGGGCGAGTTGTCGATCCACGCAATATGAATACCCTTCTCGTTCTCCTCGACGCGACAGATGCCCTCCCGGCCCAGGTGCTTCGCAAACTCGGTCAAGCTGGGCCACTTGGTCGCGTTCATGTGCACGTGCTCCTTGTTGGCAATGTACTCTTGGTAAAAGTGGTTGATCTGCACCTGCTTCTCGCCGTGCCCCGTGCGCAGTAGCTGCGTGAAGTCGCGGAGGAACTGGTTGCTGTACTCGTTGAGGAACTTTTTCGGGTCCTCGCCAACGACGAGCATCTGCCGCACGTGCGACTCGGACTGCGTGTGCATCTTGAAGCCGTTCTCGTCGCGGCATTGCTTCTCGCAGACCTGGCAGTACCAGCGCAGCCGCTGGAGGCCTTTGCTCTTGAGCTTGTTGCTCAGATGCTTCGTCGAGCCGACTTCTGCTTTTGGCATCTTGGGCGATCTTGTTTTCGGGGCGTTCTTCGGTGGACGGTTCTGAAGATGGAAGAGGGTGGTTGTTTTCGAGGTACGATGGTAGGATCTATATGTCGTGGACCGAGTTTCGATAAGTGGCGCGTGTGGGATTCGAGGTTGGATGCAGTTATGTTGACGGGAGAAGATCGTCGCAAAGAAGCAATGAGCCTTTCCAGGGTCAGTTGTGGATCTTTCCTGTGTTGCTTATCTTATCAAAATTGACAAGGGTCTGCGCCCACCTCATGAAAGATGGAAGTGGCGGGGCAGAGCCGTGTGCGACGGTCCCTAGAATACTGTATCCCACTTCGCCGAGGTCGGCCTGGCGAGTAAATATTTACGTCTACCTGGTTACTAGGGTGGTTCTTAATTGTCGGATATTGCAATATTGACAACTTCTTGTCAAGTAATTCTCATATCTCCAAGTCTATGAGTCGACGGCGTGTGGATAAGATTGATTGGCTCCGGACCTGATTTCCAATTTACTCCCAGCGCCTTGAATTTTGATGCCAAAGTTGACCTAATCATGTGCATTTGATATATACCTCTAGATAAATCAAGGGAATCTTGTCTTTTCCAGTCCATACTCTTCGTTCTTTCTTCTTTTCTGATCCAACAATGCAAATTCATGCGCCGTTTTAGATGACCCGACCCACGGAAAACTTATATACTACTTCAATCCAAAGAAGGAGAGCTCGCTTCCACCGCGCGCAGTTGAAGCGCGCGGGGTATTCGGGGCGAGCGTCCTAGTCAAGGAAAGTGAACAGATTTGTGTGCAAGATGTTCATGGCACGAGTAGCGTCACGGGCGTCAATGACGCAGGAGATGTTGATCTCGCTGGCACCTGTGTCGAAAAGTTAGCAAACGGCTTCTCTCGCAACCCCTTGCCCCCAAGATGGCTTACCCTGTGAGATCATTTCCAAGTTGACATTGTGCTCGCCTAGCGTGGAGAACATGCGACCGGCGATACCAATCATGTTCTTCATCTCCGCACCAACCAGACTCAGGATGGCCATGTCATGGAGCACGCTGACGTCGCCACATTCCTCCAGCTCAAGCCGCGCCTTGTCGAAGCTGCCGCCCTCTGAATTTCCGGCGTGGATGGCCATGGACACGTGGACCTCACTCGTGGAGATGAGATCGACAGAGATCTGGTTGCTGTCGAGGATAGAAAATACCTTTGCGAAGAAGCCGTGGGAGATGGACCGCTTGTTGGAGTGCACGTTGATGACGGAGATCTTGTCCTTGATCGTGACAGCCGTGGGTCTCTTTGGCTTTTGGACCAAGGTCGGGTCTGCGGGTGCTGACCGTTGGATCTGATGACCGGCCGTGAGGACGGGGTCGGGCACGACGATGGTACCGACTCCTCTTGGGTTCTTGACGTTCTTGATGCGGATGGGAATAGGGGGCGAGGCGTGAATGACCTGGTCCATGGTCAAATGGTGGATGACCTCGGAACCGTAGAACGTCAACTCGGCCGCCTCAGACGGTGTGATGGAGTGCAATAGGCGGGCCGTGGGAACCTTTGTCGGGTCTGCTGTGAAGATTCCATCGACCTCCTTCCACACCTGTAGCTCATCCGCCTTGAGGCCGACTGAGCATAGCGCCGCGCAGAGATCCGTGTAGCCTCGGCCAATATCACCATCAATCAGGCTTCCGGGGACGTTGCCAAAGAAGCCAGTGACCACGGGGACTCGCTCCTCGCAAGCCGTGATCTTTTTCCGCAATACCGCTGCGGCTTCCTGGTAGAAGCCCTGGCTCAGACGAGCCGTGGCATCATAGTGGAACGCGTCACTGAGATCCACATATTCCGCGGCGACGCCCTGCGAGTCTGATTAGCGGCATTTTCGAGACAGTGGAAAGCCATGTTCATTCCGTACCAAGTCCTTCAGCAATGCGGCCATGAACCTGCAGCTGAGTTTTTCACCAAAGCTGATGCATCGATCCTTTGATCTTGAGTTGACCTCGAGGTTAAATCTCCTGGCTGCTACAATATACTCGACCAGCTCTTGGCACTCATCGCGGATCTCCTGTTCCAAGGAGGCCTGTAATTCTGGGTTGCGCAGGAAAGTCTTAACCGCCGATACGTGGTCTTTGCAAATGTCCTCAATAAGACCCTTGGCCTCATTCATGAGCTCATTCTGTGTCTCTTCGGGCGTCGTGGGTGCCGCGATGCCCTTGAGCTTGTTAAACACACCAAGGAGTCTTTGGCGGAGGGGGGTCAGTTGAGAATGAAGGCTTGGTTGCGTTTCTGAGTGACTCACCGGCTGGTGGTGCCCTCAATCTTCTTGCCCGTGCTTCTTGCCGAGCAGACGACGACGGCCTTGTTGTGGGAAAGGCTTGCTCTAAAACACGAAAATGTCAGTCAGGTTACAACCCTACTTGGGAATTGTGTGTTTCGTACCGGACAATATCCGTGGCGATCTGTCGTGTGAGGAAACTGGATCAGCCTCATGCAGCAATCGCGACTTTCTCACTGGTGAGTGACAAACCTTGTCTGGAAACTTTCCAACACTGGTTCCGCCGAACTTCTGCACCACCCAGCCATTGCTGGAGGTATTCCCTATCGTTTGACTACTCATGGTGTATCAATGGCTACGCGCAGAGCCTAAGGTGGTCGGTTTGGGGTATGAGTGCTTAAGGCGGGCCAAGAAGGAGGGGCACTGTGAGTGTTGCGGAAATGGGAGTGAGAGGAGGGAAAAAAAATAAAGAATGGCGACGGTTAGACTGGGACGTCAACCCTCTCAAATCGAGTGTTTTATGTGAGATGCGTCACACTGCACGGCGTATAAAAAAAAAAAAAAGAGAAAGTGGTATGACAGGTGCAGGGAGTTTACAGAGTGGGAAGAGAGAAACCTCAGCTCGAATGCGGTGGAATTGCTATGTTCAAGGTGGTTTATGTTGCGGTGGATTAAACCAAGGCGATGAGGATGGGACGAAAGTGGGATGTGGTGGAGCGACGAAATCGGCGACGCTTGTGCAAGTTGCAGCGTCCAAATTTTTGCGTTTCCGGAACATCGGAGGCGGGCCCGAATCTTCTCACACTACAGGTGTGCGTACCTACCTACCTACACAGAGAGACCTTACAGATACACTGCTGCAAGGTCACCAAACAATGACCGATGTACATTGGTCAGCTCTGCGACTTAAGGTACCACGAGCCTTAGCACTGCCGTTCCTCGGTCAAAAGGTAATAATGAATGGGTCTTGAGTTTTGGAAAACCCGGGAAACCCTCCAACGCATAACTGCCACGCTGCTGCTGCTGCTGCTGCTGCTGCTACCTATCTGTATCCATACGGTCTCTGCCCAAAGATCCCCTGGCTTGACTTGGCTTCTGCAAAGACCTGTATGAGCGAGGGCTCTGAATCGGGCAGTGTGTCCGCGGCAGCCTCTATCCGTGACAATTTCTTTGTCTGAGTCATACGCGGTATCGGTGCTTCACTAACCCCTCTGAAGAAGGTAATTTGACACCAATATCAAACTTGTCCGTCTCTTCAACATCCCGGAAACTCTAGATAATAGAGTACGGTTCCAAGACGACCATTTGGTAATCACTTGTGAACCCCACGGGGCACTCGCTGTGTGCGTCCGCTCTGGTGGTCTCTTCAAGCCTCTGCGTTGTCGCTGCCGTCTCCCGTCCAGCCACTCCACAACGCGGTCTCGCA